GTCCGCACCCTGCGGCACGAGGCGGAGCGCGACTTCGACGTGGGCGATCTGCGCGAGCTGGAGCGGGAGATCCTTCAGGTGGGCAGGATGATCCACGACATGGAGATGAAGGTCAATGTGCCCCGTTGGACGGTGCAAGCCCGGCAGGCGGCGGGCGCCGAGCTCCTGTCCTGTGCCGGCGCCTCCTCGGCGGGCTTTGTGTCGGTAGAACAGCGCACGGGGCCCTGCGACCCGAGCAAGGCCCTGGCTGCCACGGTTTTCAGCGCCGTGCTGCTGGCGGCTGTGGCCCTGGCGGTGTGCGTGGCAAAGCTGAGCTGACCGACGCCCGACGGGCCCGCCGCCACCGCAGCTCCTTCCCCAGAGACACCCCTCTCCCAGGATGACCTCTACCGCCAGGACTCGGGATGGGAGTGGAACCTGGCGTGGCTAAGGGGAGCGGTTCTGAAACGCCGTGTGTGTAGGTGTACAAGCGTGTTTCAAGCGCACAGGTACCAGCAGTACGTGATTTCCTCACGCTGGCCAGGGAGGAGTTAAGCCGCCAGGGTATTACCGCTAATGTATGCAGGAGCTTTATCTTCTATTAATACAAAACCGCCCACAGTGACCCCAGATACCTCTGAGTTAATGGGTTACCGCGTGTGCAGCTGGGGCACACTGAGCTTGGTGTCACTACCCCTACTGGCTTGGTGTCACCACCCCTACTGGCGACTCCCATCTCTACATGGGGCAGTTTGAAAAAGGGGGTGATGAAGTGTGGAGAGGGGGCCTGTTTTACTGCGGGAGGGCGTGTTGTTTGTTCCTGGACAAGAGACAAATTGCAACAGGATGTAAGGGTGTTTTTTTATTTATTACCTTAATCCTTTGGGGACCTGAATTTAGGAGAGTGCAGAAGTTCATGCAAAGTGCTTTCTCGATGGCGCACCATGGCGCTTCTTGGCAGAGTGTAGCCATTAGTCACCAAAAGCAGTTAGAAGAGGTTTGGGGTCGTGCTCTCTCGAGCAGGGTCTGACTCTACTTAGGAAACCAGAAAAGGGTCATAGAACCTTCCCTTAGGGCACTGGACCCACTGCGAACACTGCCTATTTAAAAGAGCTCTCTTCTGCCAGTCTGGGAGGTGTGCAAGCTTTGGGAAGGGCTGCAGGCTATATAAACAGGGACTTTCTCCTTCTCTTTGGCTTATTTTTGCTCCAGAACTAGACCAGAGTTTTTGATCCATTGGGGGAGGGCTGGGGAATCCTCTTTGGAGCCCTTAATCCTGTCTATCCCTTGGAATTTGCTTGCCAGCCAGTTGGAGAGCTGGTGTTGGAAGGAGCTGCACAGCTCTCTGACCCCAACACTGACCCCTGGGGGGGGGGTATATAGTGANGGTGTTGGAAGGAGCTGCACAGCTCTCTGACCCCAACACTGACCCCTGGGGGGGGGGGGTATATAGTGGCATCACTGGCACACAGAGAATGTAACAGTTTTAACTTGGAATTTAAGAAGTGTTTTAAAAATAACCNTTTTTTATTTATTACCTTAATCCTTTGGGGACCTGAATTTAGGAGAGTGCAGAAGTTCATGCAAAGTGCTTTCTCGATGGCGCACCATGGCGCTTCTTGGCAGAGTGTAGCCATTAGTCACCAAAAGCAGTTAGAAGAGGTTTGGGGTCGTGCTCTCTCGAGCAGGGTCTGACTCTACTTAGGAAACCAGAAAAGGGTCATAGAACCTTCCCTTAGGGCACTGGACCCACTGCGAACACTGCCTATTTAAAAGAGCTCTCTTCTGCCAGTCTGGGAGGTGTGCAAGCTTTGGGAAGGGCTGCAGGCTATATAAACAGGGACTTTCTCCTTCTCTTTGGCTTATTTTTGCTCCAGAACTAGACCAGAGTTTTTGATCCATTGGGGGAGGGCTGGGGAATCCTCTTTGGAGCCCTTAATCCTGTCTATCCCTTGGAATTTGCTTGCCAGCCAGTTGGAGAGCTGGTGTTGGAAGGAGCTGCACAGCTCTCTGACCCCAACACTGACCCCTGGGGGGGGGGTATATAGTGACATCACTGGCACACAGAGAATGTAACAGTTTTAACTTGGAATTTAAGAAGTGTTTTAAAAATAACCATTTTAAAGAGAAATCACATACCCACATTGTGTACTATCAAAGCTGGGGTTTTTTTCTTAAAGGACATTTGGCCATGAATTTGTACATGCCAATGAGTCAAACAGCAGTCTTTACTTATATGCTTTGGTTACTAAATATATATTTGCATCTATTTTTAAAATTGATCTTGAAGGCAGGAGGTCATAGGAAAAAGTACTGGAACAACAGGTGTAGATGACAGAAGTTAAGTGGCCCTTACTTCTGTTGGTCAATAAATACGGAAATACAGAAAACACCCGGGTCTCAGGCTGGGATTTGCCTGAGCAGAGCTGCCACCTCCTATCTGTGTTGCAGAGAGAGCATCTGTTGAGAAAAAAAGAGATACATTTAACTCCCTAAAGGTAATAATTTGGAATAAAATTCAGAGGCTTTGGTTTGGCTCAAAACTGACAAGGATTTTTTTCTTTTTCTTTTTTACCCCCAAAGTGAGAAAAGGGACCAAGAGGAGAGAATTGGTGGTTTTTCACAAGGGCAACTTGGAAGGCCAAGGGGCAGAGGCAAATAGCAGCAGGCGTGCTGTTTGGGCACCCAGTCCTAACTAGGGACGACCTCCCAGCCCAGCCCATTCTCACTCCTCCTCAGCACACAGGTTCCAGTAACTTAGAATATGAGATGTTTGCAGTGTCTATGATAACGGTTTTAAAAGACTCATAAAGTCTTAAGCCGACTAAAAGTTTTATGACAATAACTCGTTAAAAGGATCTTCTTCCTCATCCAGTCTGGGTGAATCTGAATAGTGGCCAAATGAAACCCTTTTGCACCTGATGGCGAGGGTGTATTCAGAGATGACACAGGCAGTTTTCTAACTCCTCTCTTCCTTTTCCCGTACACAACACAACATGGAACCTCTGTCACCTTCCCCAGAGTCTCATCGCAGGCAAGAGGAGGCTGGGGCATTTTGTGACCCAGTGTTGGAAGATATCCCTAAAAACCAAGCCCTAAATAGATTATTTTCTTTCTAAGACTGTGACTCTCTTTTTTTTAAAGAATAGTTCATTGATTTTTCGAGAGAGAAGAAGGCAGAGGGAGAGAGAGAAGCATCAAAACATCTATCGATTGCCTCCTGCACAACCCCTGCCTGGGATCAAGCTGGCAACCCCGGCATGTGCCCTTGATCGGGAATCGAACCATCGATCTCCTGGTACACAGGAGGATACCCAACCCACTGTAACCCATAGAGAGCAACTGGGATAAACAAATTTCTTTGTTGTTACTCTTTACATTCATTTGGCAGATCCTTGGGTATTCTCTTATATGGGCAATCAGATCTGTACCTGATTCTGAGAGTCCTCTGCTCTCTAAAATTAGTGATGAAGTGTTGCAAAAAAAGGCTGAGTTACAATAAACATATTTATGTTGTAGGTCTGTTAGCCTAAACAACTCTGAGTTTGAAAACTTTAAATATTAGGAATAGTTGGCATTATTTGTAGCTATCACATTGCCTAATAGGACTTTTGCTCTACGATACATGCAAAATTACTTCCCGCTTGAGCAATAGTCTCCTTACTCTGTTTGCTTTCATTTCTATATATAATTCAAGAAATTGCTTTCTCGTAGAAGCCTGATTTAATTTAGATATTTGATATAAGTTACTAATTCTCTAAAAACCATTTGGTATGATCTTATACCATGATACAAATGATCGGAAAAAAACAATAATTTAACATGTTTTATGTAGGATATATATGAAGAGGTCAATGTTAAAATCTATGGCAGAGAACATCTGCTTTCCCAAATTAAAGGTACAAGTTAGAAGATAGATCTTTACTTCCAAAGTAAAACGCTATTGTGAAGTAAATTCTCTTGTGAAGTTAAATCCCTGTAAAGAGGAAACATCCCTGGTTTCTCTTTTGGGAAAACAGCTCTGCTTTATGTGATAGTGAGACAACAAGAACTTGGAATGCCAAGGCACTTATCATGGGAACTTTGAATTATTGCTATTAGTTTCTTTAAAAACACCAACTAATAATGTTTGTACGAAGCAAAAAAATGCCTGCTGGCAAATTCTTTTTTTACATGCTCTAAGAACTTATACTTTTTAAATGCTACAAGGGAAAACATTTTTGGTGAGTAAAAGTAGAGCATAAACTTCGTGATTTACCTAAAGTTTACAGTAAGCTACATATGAGATGTGTGATGTCGAATGACTAAAAAGTAGTTCTGGTTGAAGAGAGTCCTGGTTTGCATGAGGACCCTGATAATGCTGCATTTTCCTTTTCAATGTGCACACTGGTATGTTTTTAGCTACTTGGTTGCGTTTCAGAATGTAGTTCTCTGTTCTGTATTGGATGCTTGTTAAGGGTGCGAGACCCCGAGTGTGAGTCTGCGTGTCAGTCTGAGAAGTAAAGTGCTGTGGGACTGGCCCCTGTGTTCTTTGGGGCTGTACCTCCTCCGGCAAGGCCTGACCCGCTGCAATTAGCAGCGGTCTGCCTCTCTCTCCAAGTACCTCCAACAAGTCACTGACCTCCCTGTGCCTCACTTCCCTCATTTGTGAAATGGGGGCGGGCCCTCACTAACTCAGATGTCCCTTTCAGAGCTTAAAACATTGAACAGAATGCAGTCAAACAACAAAAGGTTATTTTGTTTGTTTTTTTGTTGTTGTTTTATGTTGTTGGTTTTGGTGCATATTGAAATGGAATCTTACAGTTTGGTGGGTTTTGTCTAAAATTAGTCTGTTGGTAAAATTCCATGTGAATTTTAAAAATCAGAACGAACTAAGCTTACTGTGATTTTAGTCCATATCAGAACTAGTGGACGGACTTAAAAGCAAATTTGTGTAAATGCTACTTGTTTATAGTACTTATATTAGATCAGGAATTTAAATTTAGACCTTACGTCTAAGTCCAAGAAAGCCTAGTATGTGTTAAACAGTTTGTTGTACCCAGCAGTGGGACCACCTAAACTGATTATGGCAAATTACAGATGCGAAAACCTGTCATTTGTCACGGAGGCTGGGAGAATTCTATTCTGTAAGTAACCTGGTGCCCTCAGAACTATAACTACATTGGCTGCCTGAGGTCAGGGAACATGAGCACAGCATGGATTGTTTTGTATGTGGCATTGATAGGGGCAGGGAGGGAATGCTGGGGCACTAACAATGTTCATAGATATTATAAATCATGTCTGTCTGTCTGAACCAAAGAAGGCACACCCTGACCTGGTTACTGTGTCTGGGTGCTCAACCCCCTCTGGGAGTTTGCCCCAGGAATGCTGTCCATTCTCTGATAACAGGAACGGGCTAAGCTGTTTGACATCATAAAAGGATTGACTACCTTGTTATTGGACTTCAAGATCCTGGAAGCAGACACACTGACCACATACCCCACAGACCCTCATCCTGCTATACCCTCCACACTGCTGTAGCTTCTCTTCCCTATCCCTGTATAATCAGCCAGCTGGTGG